TAAATTTCCCTTTTATCCTTATATCTAATTGCTTTAGCATTCATTGGTGATTGATATTTGAATCATTTATTTCATCAGGGGTTACTAAATGGTGATATCCTATTTTCTTTCTTTTTAAAAACATCTTTATTGTGGTACAATTGATATACAGGAACTTGCACATTTAAAAAATGTACAATTTGATAAACATTGGCATATGTATACACGCATGAAACCATCACTACAATCAAGATAGGGAAAATATCTGTCACTCCAAGACGTTTATTCTGCCCTTTTGTATATTTGGAAATTTTCACAATCAAAAGTCAAAAAACAAAAGGGAAATATTTATGAGGCAGATCAATAGGGATTGGTGATTGAATGCTTGGGGGTTAATGAGAGAAGGGTCTGGAATGACTCCTAGTTTCGTGATATGAGCCACTGAGTAGGTGGTGGAACCATTTATTGAAACTGGAAACACGGAGAAGAAACTTGGTGAATTCAGTTTTGTACACGTTAAGTTTGAGGTCACAATGGGACATCCAAGTAGAGATGTCTAGTACGCAGGTGTTAAATGAAAAGGAACAGTTTAGACTAGAGAGATAAACTGGGAATATTGGCATATAGTAACTGAAGCCAGGGAGTAGAAATTACAAGAGAATAAGTACAGAACAGGAAAATGATTTGAGGGGAAAAAGAAACTCTGAAAAATTCTAATGTTTTATTATTAGCTAGAAGAGGAAGAAGGCGGAAAATAAGCGTACAGTGCCGCAGAAACCAGGGAAAATAGAGAATGTGCCATTTGTGCTAGTCCCAGTAAGTCATATTCTGTATAATACTTTTACTCTCAAAATTAATACATTATGATTTATACACCAGTAAGTGTGGGCATACTCCTGAAAGAAGTGTCATCTTCCATGCATTAATAACATTAAGTTTCTGAGCCTGTAAAGCTGAGGACTGGACTATGGACTCTAAATTACCAAAGTAAACGACACCTTGTGAGGACTCTTGCTAGCTAATTGATTAGCTTTGTCTGGTGACCTCCAAGCCTCAGGAAGTCTTTTTTTGAAGGATTTACAATATTTACTATATTTTAAGATGACTAATATTAAAACAAACTATTTTCTTTTTTGCATGTCATTAGCCTCCCAGGATCTTAGAATGAAAGGGAATCTGGCTCATTAACAACTTCAACTTTCCCTAAATATGGGAATCTTGCCTTACACTTCTTCATGGATGATTATCCAACCACTGCCTGGACAAGATAGTGAATTTAGAGTACTCTGGGTCACTGTGTGATAGCTCTTTTTAGAAATTCCTATATTGAAGATGATAAGAATAAAATCTCTCCTCTGGTGTTTGAGATATCTAGAATTCTTTTTCAGGACCCTTCGAGAAAAAGCATGAAGACAAAAAATTCATAGTTTGAATGCCTTATATATTTTAGGTTTTTCATGTTTGTTGAATGAAAGAATGTATAAATCAACAAAACGCATAGATGCTATTTGGTTGGTTCTGAAAAGCTGACTATATCCTATTAACCTAGTAAGAACTGTTAGAATAGTCTTTAGCATTAGAATCCTTCATCACTACAACATTAAAATCTTTACAAATAGATTTGATATCCATGAACTTGTCTGGAACAAAAATGCAACTATGTCAAGTCCCATATTTTTTTCCCCAAGAAAAAAGTTGATAGACCAAGATTTTTTTTTCCCCTTCTTTCCGTCCTACTGGGGTTGGGAGATGGGGATAGGGAGCAAAGTATGAGAAGCAGTGTAGTGTACTGGAAAGAGCATGACAATTGGAATCAGACAGTCTTGGTTCTAATCCACTTCTACTATTTATTATATGTCTGTTCTTGGGCCACTGAGTGACTTTCTGAGTCTTAGTTTCTTCATCTTAAAAATGAAGATAATGTTTACTTGGCAAAGTTATGAAGATTCAGTAACTCAAGGAGTAGAAAGTATGTAACATAGCAACTGGCTGATACAATGAGCTCGATAAAGGCAGCTGTGACTCTGACATTTGGGTAACATTTCAGAAAACACTTAGCAAGAAAAAAAAGGATGTTATGTTAATTTTGTTTTTATTTATTTTTTAATAAGAAAATGCCAAGGCTAGGAGAGGATGTGATAAGAGTTAAGAAGTAAGGAGATTCACAATAGCCAAGAGGTGGAAGCAACCCAGATGTTCATCAAGTGATGAACAGATAAACAAAATGTGAGATATACACATACAATAGAATAGATTCCACCTTAAAAAGGAAGGATTCTGACACATGCTACAACATGGTTGAACCTTGAGGATATAAGCCAGTCCCAAGAAGACAAATACTGTATGATTCCACTTATATGAGGTAACTATAAAGTAGTCAAATTCATAGAAACAGAAAGGTGGGTTTCCAAGGGTGGGGGAAAGGGGAAAAGGGGAGTTGTTTAATGAGTATAGAGTTTCAGATTTGAAAATGAAAAAGTTCTGGAGATCTGTTGCACAACAATGTGAATATACTCAACACTAGTGAACTGTACACTTAAAAATGAGTAAGATGTAAATTTTATTATATGTGTTTTTATTACAATTAAAAAGAAGTAACAAGTAAGGAGAAAGGAAAAGTGAAAAACTGAAGGTCTAGAAATTTGGAGGAAAGACAAAGGTTGTAGTGATATTAAGAAATGAGCTAGAATAGATTCTACGATACTAAAAAAAACCCATCTCTAATTTTTAAGACATTAAAAAAAAGAAATAACTACATCATTGTATCTCATCTGTGCCCAAATTCATCAAATAAACATTTACTGCTTAATTTCAAGGCACAGAGCTAAATACTGAGGACCAAAAAAAGCATAAGAAACACTTCTTACCTTCAAGGAAAGGGGCGAGTAAACAATTATTGTTAATACGTGGTAAGCAGAATTAAAGAGATGAAGAGTACAGAGTGCACGATACAGATTTCTATGGTAGAATAGAGAAGACTTTCTGGAAGGAGTGGCATCTGAATTATAAATTCACAAATATCTTCCCAAAAGCTTTCATATCACAATCTAACCCTGAGATTTATTAATAGTTATTATGGTAGGAAATGATAGAAGGAAGTTGTTTTTTTAAACGAGTAATTCATATCTAGAAATGAAAGGAAGTAAGGAGGGAAAAAAATTAGGGATTTGGAGGAAGGAAGAATTCTTCAATTTCTTAATCACTGTACTTCCTATTTCTTAAATTAGCTCCAAATTTTCCTACTTCTGTGCCTTTGTCCACGCTATCACTTTAACCTGGATAACCAATCAGTATTCTTCTATATTAAAATACGTACATATAACAAATGGGGTTGACAACTAAATTGTGAAATGCTTTCAGATTAATAACTAGAGTTGAAAACAAAATAGACATTTTCTTCTATCATTTTAGAAGGAAATAAATTATGTCTATAAGTTAATTTAGTTTTAACGATTTAAAATGCATGCCTGAGAAAGGCCATTCTCATAAATCTTTGCTGCAGAAAGTTATATACTAGAAGACATAGCCAAATGAAACAAAAAAGGGGGATGAGACTAGGGTTTTCGGGCCAACAATAGATTTACAAGTATATATCATTATCAAAGGCTTTTTCTGTTCTCTCACACGCAAGGAATAGCCTATGCTATTGTGACTTTCAAAGAATACACTTAACAGATAGTATTCTTTTTTCATATCTAAAAAGATAAAATCATTGATATGTGTATCAGTGGTTCTTCACTAGGAGGTGGGAGGTGGGGAGTGATTTTGCCACTCAGGGGACATGAGACATTTTTGGTTATCACAACTGGGGGGGTGCTACTGTCATCTAGTGGTGGAGGCCAGAGATGCTGCTAAACATCCCACAATGCAAAGGACTGCCCCCCACTCCCACTCCAAACAAAGAATTATCCAGCCACTATATTAACAGTGGTTGAGAATATCTGACATACACAAATACATTTCTTTTCTTTTTTTTTTTTAAAGATTTTTTATTTATTTATTTATTTTTCCCTTCAAAGCCCCAGTAGATAGTTGTATGTCATAGCTGCACATCCTTCTAGTTGCTGTATGTGGGACTCGGCCTCAGGATGGACGGAGAAGTGGTGCCTCGGTGCGCGCCCGGGATCCGAACCCGGGCCACCAGCATCGGAGCGCGCGCACTTAACCACCAAGCCACGGGGCCGGCCCTACATTTCTTTTCTATCTCTTTCCCTTCTTTCTTTTAAATTTGTTATGTTTTGAATAAGAAATGGAGCATATTTTATGACCAGAAAAAGAGAAAATCCTACTGATTTTCTTTTCACTGTTTAGAAATTTGGTCCATACTGCACTGGAATCAGCACTGTTCTGACCAATGTCACAAGAGACTCTCCACCAAATTTTTACGTGACCAATGGAATAACAGACATTCTACCAGATTTTATTGGTCAATGATAATATAAAATGTGAGAAAAAACAGATCCCAAAGAAAGAATCAGCAATTCATAGCCACCTACACCACCATTATTGGGCATTTGAAGTGCTTTCTAGTAGATTCCACAAATAATTCTTTTTTTTTTTTTTTTTTGTGAAGAAGATCAGCCCTGAGCTAACATCCATGCTAATCTTCCTCTTTTTGCTGAGGAAGACTGGCTCTGAGCTAACATCTATTGCCAATCCTCCTCCTTTCCGCCCCCGCCCCCAAAGCCCTAGTAGACAGTTGTATGTCATAGTTGCACATCCTTCTAGTGCTGTATGTGGGACACCGCCTCAGCATGGCCAGAGAAGCGGTGCGTCGGTGCGTGCCCGGGATCCAAACCCGGGCCACCAGTAGCAGAGTGCGCACACTTAACCGCTAAGCCATGGGGCCGGCCCCACAAATAATTCTTAATTTCAAAAAATGTAAGGTATTTTGGTGTTTGTGTTATAACATTTAAACTTGGAATTTACATAGTTAAAATATATACTCACCAATATAACTAACCAAAATATTTATATGCCATGCACTTTAAAATGTATTGAGAATTATGAAAGCTCCAAAATTTAAATCATAGAGCATATATTTATTTTGTAACAAAATAGATAAAACCAAATGTAAACTGTACTATTGTTTGCACTTTATACATTTTGATTATGCTGAAATCTGTTAATTTAACATTCAGTTAAAATAAACTTTAAATTAGTTATTTAAAAAATACCAAGTACAAGATTAAGATAAACTTTTTGTTCATCAGAAAAAAAACCTCAGGGTAAATAATGATAGAGCAAATCCGTCCAAAACACTAGGTCTTCATCTTTTGTTTCTTAGACCACTCAGGTGCTTCTTTTTTGGTCTGTTTAAAAAAAGAAAAGAAAAAAAGAAAATCAAGTAAAATGCTTATAAGGAGGAAGAGAGGCAATTCAGAGAACTAAGTACCTATATACATTGGGACTTTTTATGTAAAATTACAGTAAATAATTACTTTTCTTAATTCAAAAGGATACTTAAGGGCAAAGGTTTTGTCTTTTGTCTGAAATAATCTCCCACCTGGTATGTCTGTAGAAAAAATACACATTTCTGTTTTCTGGCTCAAAGCCTTTACTTAACATTATTTTACAGAGGTTTGTATTTTATGAATTGATTCTATTTTCAAAGAGAAGTAGAAAATCAAGGACACAGCTTCTTTTTAGTTGTCTTATCTATCTATACATGGATATTCATTCACTCAATAGATATTTACTGAAGAATGACTAGATCCAAATCATTGTGCTCCAGATCTTCCGAATTGCTAAGTATTTACCAGACTACTTCCTGGGTTTACTGCTCAATCATTTCAGTCTAAAAAGAGCCCAGCTGCACAGACTAGTAAGAAAAACAGCAGGGGAACAGGATTGTTACAGAATAAAGCACTTAGAACTCCTTATATAAGGCACTGATTCCAATAAAAACATCCTATTTTATACAAGATATTATAATAAATTAAACACACAGTTGACTCCTTTCCCACTTATATCTGCTTAAAACTATGAAGGACCACATTCCTAAAGATATGTACATAGGCATAGTATGAGAGCTTATAATTTTATCTTTTTTTATATTGTTCTATATGCCATAGCAGATGCACAAAATGTTGGAAGTGGCCTCTTGACCTTATCCATGCCTTTGGCCAGATTCAGTTACCACCAAATAAACTGGTGGGCCCTCCACCCTTATCTTTACACCACAGCTCTAACTTGAGCTACAAATACTTTTCCACTATGGGCCCCACAGGCAACTAAAATTCAGTATGTCAAAACGAACTCCCCCAGTCCTCCATATTCTGTCTTGGTGAATGGTACCATACTTTGCTCAGTCATCTAAACCAGAAATGTTTGACTCCTCTTCATCAAAGATTCTCCTCCTTTTCACTTGCTACATCCATTTTAAACAGTCCCTAACTTTTATTGAAATATCTTTTTAACTTTTCGTTCTGTTCCCATCTTGACTCCATTGGCTTACCTTGGGCCCTCATCATTTTTGGCTTGATTCCTATAAGAGCTTCTTAATTACAACTTGGATCTCTTCTCTTCTGTTCAATTTGCTGTCCACAATCCTTTCAAGCTTATCTTTCTGAATTGCAAATCTGTACTAAAACGCTTAAGTAGTTCTTTCTTTACGAAAAAGTCCAAAGTCCTTAGTATTAAAGGTGAAAGAAGCTTCCATGACAAAATAAGGAAATCATAGGCAAAGGCCAGGTGCTGTCTCCAAGAGAATTCAAAGGTGGCCAAGGCCAACCAAATCCAAAAGAAACCAAAGTACAACCAGAATACTAGTTTATTAACTGGCGACAAGAAATGCAGTTATCATTTGGCCAGGAGTGCCTGTTAGTTTTACCAGTCTTCTTTTTTTTTTTTAAACAGTCACAGACCATAGGGTAAAGTCAGAGTAAAACTGGGGAATTGTGGGTTGTCATACAATCAGATTGAGAGGTTGGGGTGACTGAAAGAGGCGAGGCAGTTAAAAGTCGAAGGCTCTCACAGTCACAGTCACAGACGAACGTCTACGCCAGTGTTTTTGAAACTGTAGGTCTCTTCAATTATAATTCAATAATACTGGATGAAAAAAAGAGAAACTGTAGGTCTCAACCAATGGGTAAGAAAATCAATTTAGTGGGTAAAGACTAGAATTGAGAAAAAAATTAAACAGATTAGAAAAGAAAGTATCAGAGTACCTGCCCTAGAAGGAGTAAGCTCTGTTTTGTGAAACTGTGATCATCACTAGGTCACAACGTAAAATGGTTTTCTTAACTGTGGCTCCTGGACAAAACAATCTGAAAGCCACTTCTATAGACCAAGCTACAGATCCCCAAGCTTATAGCAAAGAGTACAGACTTTGTATATCTGCATTTCCTCAATCAACCAATACTAAAAGTTTTATGACTACGATGTGTGTATGAGAAGGTAAATAAAACTTTTGATATTAACAAGGAATCTTAAGACTCAAAAAGGGCAGTACAAGAATTTCAATGGCAGACAGTTCATGCTGACTCCTTTTGTCTGTGTCTGGTCCCTTGCAGACCACCCTCCCTCCATCCCCTCCCCCACAATACAGTCTTTCTTCATATGTGTTAATGAAGTAGATCTGCCACAGTCAAATGTACCTCTGTCCTGGGGATTAACTGCTTTTTTGCTTCATAAATTGACTTTTCAGATCTTTGATCATAACCATTTTAAATTAATTTCACAGCTTGCTCCCACAGGACTAATGTATGTTCCTTATTCCTAGGTTATTTTGGGAGAACATCACTATCACTGTCATGTTCTAACTATTTAAAAGACAGGGCCCTTTAGGATCTGGCCCATACTTGGTTCTCTAATCCCATCTGTTGACACTCTCCTACGTGAACTAAATTATTTGGAGTTGAGATTAGTTTAATAGCAGTTCACTGAACACCTACTATGTGCCAGGTTCTTGTGTTAGGTAATGGGGATATAAAAATGAGTAAGACCCTGTGATAGAGTCTGCAGGCTGCCTAGCCTATATCTATTTTCCCCTTCTTTTTTTTTTGTGAGGGAGATCAGCCCTGAGCTAACATCCGTGCTAATCCTCCTCTTTTTTTGCTGAGAAAGATCAGCTCTGAGCTAACATCTATTGCCAATCCTCCTAGTTTTTTTCCCCAAAGCCCCAGTAGACAGTTGTATGTCATAGTTGCACGTCTTTCTAGTTGCTGTATGTGGGAGGCGGCCTCAGCATGGCCGAAGGAGCGGTGCATCGATGTGCGCCCGCGATCCGAACCCGGGCCGCCAGTAGCGGAGCGCACGCTCTTAATCGCTAAGCCAGGGGCCAGCCCTGCCCTTCTTAATAACAGAACTCTAACTTTATTATGAGAGTAATGGGCTCAACCAGTTAAAAACTACAATTATCAGCCTCCCTTGCTGCTGGGTGTGGCCATGTGACTAAGTTCTGGCCAATGGGATATAAATAGAAGATGTTGGGTAGAACTTGCGAGAAAATGCTTTTAGAAAGGGAGACAGTATTTTCCCCATTTCCTCTTGCTTTCTGCTTAAAATGCAGATGTAATGCGTGGGGCTACAGCAACCATACTGTGATTCTGAGGACAGAAGCCACAAACCAAGGATGGTTGAAGAGAAAGGCAGAAGGAACCTAGGTCCTTGATGACTTCAAAGGGCCACATACTAGCCCTGAAACGTTCATCTCCAGGCCTCTATCTGAGAGACAGAACAATTGGCTTAAGCTGCTGAACTAGCAGTAGAAGACATCCCTAAAGACACTGACTCTTCTCCTCCCTAAGTAAGTTATAGTATTTATTTTGTTTTGTGTTGTATCTTCAGCATACAGTAAAGTGTTTGGCACGCACTAGGTACTCAATGCCATACGTCCTTTGTTTTCTGTAGCTGGAGCAGAGCACAGCGGTTAAACAACAGGCTCTGCAATGAAACAGGCTCTGGACATTTAACAGTGAACCTGGGCAACTTGATGACTTCTCAGTTACCTCGTAAGTAATATGGGGAGAATAAAGAATACTGTGCTGGATGTTCTGTCCTTCAGATCTACTCTCCATCCTACTCTGCGCCCCAGCAGGCTGTTTTCTGGTTTCTGATTAGGTTCAGTCAATGGGATGCACAGTGGGCTTGTAGGTGGGAGGAGAAAGAAAGTTGGGATATTTATTCCCCAGCTCCTTCTCTGCCTGACCACGGTTTGTAGTGGCTAAATTCTTCTAGAAAAAAACCAAAGTTTCCATAAGAAGGCTCCAATCCCTCCCCTTGCCCCTTGAAATCTAGGGGTGGTTACAGCTTCGCAGTTACTAGTCCTGAAATGTTCATCATCACTTGTTGGTTTCCACACGCTTGCAAACAGCCTCTTCAGAATGCGATACCTGTTTCCCAAAAGGACTTTGACTGATACAGAATCTACATCAGAGTGTTGTTGAGAGGATAAAATGAGATAATGTATGAAAAAGCACTTAGCCTTGAGTAAATGCTAAGTCTGAAGAGTACTTCCCATTTGATGTGCTCTCTGGCTGAAGAGCTCACTCCTATTTGTTTTTCAGGACTCAGCTCAAAAGTCACCTCCTCTAGGAAGCCTGCTCTGATACCTCACGACTTCTTTTGGTGTTCCTTTCAAAAATCTAAAGCCTTCACAACTAGACTTTTGGTGGTGAACATGATGCAGTCTATAGAAAAGTCGAAATATAATAATGTACACCTGAAATTTAGATAATGTTATAAACCAATGTGACCTCAAAAATACAAAAAAGAACTTAAAGCCTCTCATAATAACTTTCTGTATAAGTATTACAACTGTTTACTTGAATCAGCCACTCAATAAACTGCATTCCTCGAGAGAAGTTATAATGTTCAATAAATGTTAAAAGAATAAATTTATTTCTATTGTCATTTTTTAATTGAAATGCTTTATATATTAATGAGAGTATTTAGTGGCTGATCCCTATATTATCCACAATTTTGACATTGGATACAATTGGATATTAGATTTTTGAATATCCAATTAATATGCTTAGCCTAAACTTCAGTTTGTAAATGTAAAACAGCTATCTTAGAATTTTTTCTGACTTTATAATTCAAAATAAAGTTCGATGACTAAATTTTAAAATAATTTTCTGTGGTGCTATTCACATTTTATCATAACTAATATTTGGAAGCACTTAATTTTCAAATCTCATACTATAAAATCTCATTTTTCATGTCTCCAAGAGGCAAATATGCAAAGCAATTGAGAGGCGTGTTTGTGAAGTAAGGTATGACGGCTCTTCCGGCTCCCTTATAGGCCTCCCTCACTCTACTTTCAATTGGTTAGCACGTATTCTTTTGTCTTCCCTCCTTCTTTCTCCTG